TTTGAAATAATTTCTCACCTTTTGGACTTTCTCTGGATTGGCACGAATTTTTCAAGACTAAGACTGGCCAAATCGATTCAGCCGTTTTCGAGTTTTATTCGGACATTTGAAAGAGAGCTCCATTTTTATATATAAGATATATCTTATTTATATATATATATATATATATATATATATCTTATTTATAAAATTCTTCTTATCTATGTATGAATGATTAATCCTCCTAAACTATAATTCGGATTTTCATGAATCTTCCTGAAGTTTGTTCGGGAAATTTTCTGTAATTTGTAGATTCATAGAAATATAGTTATATTGTAGAAATAAATGGAAAAAAATACAGAAAAAAACGCTTATCATTGTTAGCCCTTGAAAATATTTAAAGCATGGTTTGACATTAAAACAAATGAAGACTGTCAATACAATGACAGACAATATTAAAATATAATATATTTATGATTATGAATAAGAAAAATGTAATGACTACATTATTATTGCCAAAAAGCAGCTGAGATGTGCCAAAAATTATAATAATATAAGATTTACAGTCAACATCTGACAGGTGGTGCAGTCTGCGCATGCGTCTGACAGTGATCGCGCATCAAACTTAGCCTATAATTCACTTTGACTGATTATTATTTTTTAACTTTTAAATGCAGTCATGTTTTGCCTTACTTTACTAAATCACGATACAAAAATAATTTACTTATCCAAACAATTATTTAGAAGTTTCATTGTGTCAAAAATTCATATGTTTGGCATTGGATACGAAATATTTAGTTAAGTCAATGGAGAGTTTTGGGTCTGAATATTTTTGATGTGCTCCAATTTGCATGGAATTTTGGAATTAGGTTCATCTTACTCTCAAGTTTAAAAGTAAAAATAATTTAGAACCATTTGCCACTTCCCGGGGGGATGACATCTCTTTTCAGTGGTGCAATTGTATCTCTTCCAAAATAATGTCGGATATCGATAAAAGAACTAATTAGAAGAGAAAATGTTTTATAATGTTAAAAAAGAAATTACTTTTTAAGTTAGTGGCTACTGAAAATTTGTTGTTTTTTGCGTTTTTCATAGTTTTTTGCAAATATTTCTAAAAATATACATTTAAACGAAAATCATGTAATAAACAAAATCATATCAATTAAAATCCTAATAAATCGGTGTTCTATAAATTGTTCTAGGAACAATATTAGGCTAGTTATGAAAATGGGGTTTCATAGTACTCAAAATAAGCTTTAAAATGAGTACTTCTGCGTGTAAAATGAGTGAGCTATCAAGCAAATAAAAGACGCATACAATATTTTTTTGGTTTAAAGCAAATAGTTTTTGAGTACCATTTCCACCAAAATTAAAAATAATCGTATTCCCTCTGGAATCAACTTGGTTTAAGAGATCTTGACGGATTCTAGAAAATACCATAACTTTAGTGCAATCGATTTTCAAAAAGCTCATGATTTCATGAAAAAAAATCTATTTAAAAAAATAAAAGATACGTAAAAAGGTATATAAATGAAAATTCAAGGTCTTTTACTCACCAATTATTGCTTTTTATTATTTTTCTGTTACACAAATATTGATAGTGTCCAACCAGAGTGTCTTTCGAGTCTTTCAATCCTTTGCCATTTCAAAATAAGAGAAGTTACGGTAAAATTTATGATAGAGAAAGTTGTAGCTTATTTAATTACCTTTAAAATAGTGTATTGCAAGTGCTGATAAAATCAGAATTAAAAGGGTTATAATTCAATTAATCCGGTGGGTTGTGACAGAGTGCAAATTGTTTTTACTTCTGGACTTAAGATTAAGATTAGCCTATTTCCGACACACGGTTTTTTCCTCTCCATTTACTGCAATAATTTTGTTGATCGTGGGTTGAATAGAGCACATGTGAACATGATTTGACAAATTAATTCACTTCAAATATAAACTCAAGTAATAATGTATATAAATTTATTAGTAAGAAAAATGTAATTTAGATATTAAAATTACTAAAAGCCAGTTAAAATATGGTGCGAAATTATAAAAATTATAGGCAACATTATTGAAGCAATTATTTTGGGTAGAAAAATCCAAGATGATATCGTGTTATGCATTTGGAAAGTCAATGTTTCAGTCGTGAATAAACAAAAAATCATTCATTTTTACATCCTCATCTACAGGTATGACTAAACAATTGTATAACCCTTGACATTAAAATAAATTGAGCTATTGGAAATAAATTTGTACTATAAATTGCAGTATTTAATTTTTAATATATAATTTTATTGAACATATTTTAGTATTTGTTAAAGGGATAATTAAAGTCTTAACTGTGGGAATTGAGAATCATCATTTTATTAGAAGCAATTCTACATTCACCCATATATTGATTGTAAATAGTAATTCGAAAAACAATAATTATTAATTTTAACTGAACGGTAAATATTAGTACAGGATATTGAAAAAATGTAGAATTGGGTACAGGACAACGTCTGTCGGGTCATCTAGTATATATATATATACTAGATGACCCGACAAACGTTGTCCTGTATCCACATATATAACCGCTCAGTTAAAAAAAAATATTGTTTTTCGAATTACTATTTACACAAATATGAGTGATGTTAAATGTAGAGCGCTGATGATTCTCAATTCCCATAGTTAACACTTTAATTATCCCTTTAACAAATATTAAAATATGTTCAATAAAATTGTATATTAAAAATTATACACAGCAATTAATAGAACAAATTTATTTCCAATAGCTCAATTTATTTTAATGCCAATGGTTATCTAATATTTTTAGTCATACCTTTAGATGTGGATGTATAAATGAATGATTTTTTTGTTTATTCACGACTAAAACATTGATTTTCCAAATTTATCACACAAAAAATCTTCGTCTGCCTTTGTGATTTATAGCATAAGATATACGTATTGGAAATTGAACTTTATTAAAAGGTATAACATATCCAGAAAGAATTAATATATAGCATTCGCGGTATAGGTACAATATCACCTTGAATTTTTCTACCCAAAATAATTCCTTCAATAATGTTGCCTATCATTTTTATAAATTCGTACCATATTTTAACTGGCTTTTAGTAATTTTAATATCTAAATTACATTTTTCTCACTAATAATTTAATATACATTTTTACTTAAGTTTATATTTGAAGTGAATTAATTTGTCAAATCCTGTTCACATGTACTCTATTTAACCTACGATTAACAAAATTATTCCAGTAAATAGAGAGGAAAAAAAATGTGTCCTGCGAATTTTTTTACTATGCTCCAATTTGCTTGATATTTTGGAAATAGGCTAATCTAAATCTTAAGTTCAGAAGTGAAAACAATTTGCACTCCTTCACCAACCCCGGCATTAATTGAATTATAACTCTTTTAATTCTGATTTTAGCAGAACTTCTAATATACTATTTTAAAGGTAATTAAATAACCTACAACTTTCTCTATCATAAATTTTACCGTAACTTCTCTTATTTTGAAACGGCGAAGAGTTAAAGGGCTCGAAAGACACTCTGGTTTACAGCCGCGCACTCTTTAAACAATTATAACTCTATCAATATTTGTGCAATAAAAAAATTATAAAAAACAATAATTAGTCAGAAAAAAAACCTTGAATTTCAGAGATATAATAATGAGAATTTGTTTGTTTTTTTTAATGGATTTTTTTCATGAAATCATGAGTTTTTTGAAAATCGTTTGTACTAAAGTTATGGTATTTTCTAGATCTCTTAAACCAAGTTCATTCTAGATGGAATTTGATTATTTTTAATTTTGGTGGAAATGGCACTCATAAACTATTTCATTTAACTGAAAAAAACATTGTATGCGTCTTCTATTTGCATGATAGCTCACTTATTTTACACGCAGAAATAATCATTTTAAAGCTTATTTTGAGGACTATAAAACCCCATTTTTATATCTAGCTTAATATTGTTCCTAGAACACTATAAAACAGCGAATTATTAAGAATTTAATTTATATAATTTTGTTGATTTCACTATTTTTGTTAAAATGTATGTTTCTGAAGATATTAGCAAACAACGCTTTTCATTTTTCTTTAACGTTTAGTTAAAATAAATAATCTGTCTAACTCAATTTTAATATAGGGTATGTAATTACTTTAACTGACATTTAACAACCGTGAGACGCATGCGCAGACTGCATCACCTGTCAGACGCATGTTGACTCTATTTTATTATATTATTTTAATTTTTGGCACATCTCAACTGCTTTCTGGCCATAATAATGAAGACATTACACTTTCCTTATTTATAATCATGAATTTATTATATTTTAATATTGTCTTAGCCTATGAGTGTGGAATGGAATTGTTTGGCAAGTGACAGTTTTCATTTCTTTTTAATGTCAAACTAGGCCTTAAATATTTTCAAGGTCAAACAATGATAAGCGGTTTTTTGTATTTTTTTCAATTTATAACTCTAATCTAACTATATTTTTATGAGTAAAAAATCCTAGAAAGTTTGAAGAGTCTTCAACCAGTCTACGAATAACACACTATCCATTTGTGATTTTTTCAAATCAGTATTTTGTGAAAATATTGTGTAATTTCAAGTTAATGTTTATAATACATAGTGTAGTGCATTACCATATCCTAATACCATAGATTATTAAAATTTTCCAATTTAACACTAAGATCAACTAATTGTAAGTACTAATTACTATTTTATTTTTTCTTTTCACTCCAATTCAATTGTTTTAGTTTTTAATTTTATTTTTAGTTTCCACTGAATGAAGGCTAGGATTATAGCCGAAACGTATGGATTTAAAATAAATTTTTGAAAGAAATTCATGTTTTTTATTAATGTTATGCCCGATTATTAGACTTTATTAATACATATGTCAACATCAAATTCAGAATCATACATATATATATATATATATATATATATATATATATATATATATATGTGTGTAATTTATTCATTTATTTATAATTTAAACCATGAATTGTGTATGATTTGGATTTTTTTATTTAGATATAAAAGATCCAAATTGGAAAGGCAAATGAATACTGACGTGATCTGGTGTGTAGTAATTCTAATTGTGCTATGTGGAATTGGAGCGACAGGCTGTGGTTTATGGTTATCATCCTATATCGGGCAACGTGTTCCTTTTTTAATATTTGAAGACAATCCTTTGTATGAAGCTATGCTAACTTTCTGGACATTTATAATTGTATTACAGGTATGTCGTGTAAACTATATATACGTTTTCAACTATTAAAACTGTCAATTTAAGTAGTCATTTTAAAATCACCTATAAGAAACGAAGAAAAAATGTATTTATGGATACAGGTTATACTGTTACAGATTTTAAAATATAAACAATATTTATGGTAATGTTTTGCTTTGTACATTTTTAATGTATAAAATTGTTTAATGCAATTATTCCGCTGATCATTTTCAGCATTTATACTACGAGTTTGTGCGTAGTTTGTCTAACCGTGATATAATAATAATTGTATAACTGCTCTCTTTAAATGCCTTTCTCTAATTTTTCTTATCTCAAAATCTCAAAGACATAACAATAATTTATGGTACATATTTTGTAAGTTATAGTAATCGCAAAAAAAACTCGAAAATGCATTTTTTTGCATATCTTTACGTTTCAGAGGTTTTGTATATATGCGCATGTGTGTGTTTGTTAGTATGAACGTATCTTATATTCTTTTTTTATTATTTGTATAGCGTAGGAAATATGTTTATATATTCAACAGACGCAAATTGTTTGGATATGTCGGTGGCATCAATGTTAATACCGACTAAAATCTCCGCTTTCCTCAATCCTTGTAACCCCCACGGGGGGAGGGCATTGATTTTATTAGTTAGTGTCTCTGGTTGAAGCCTTTTCTTTAGGATTTTTTCCAGTTTATTTCGCTGTACACTAAAGTAATATATAATAAGCGGTGAATTTAAGCTCGAACGCTACAGTGTCCAGATAGCATTTGTGTTAAAAAGTAGTTGACTCTCCATGTCTCCGGTTTAGTCAAACGTCGCACAGTGGTCAAATATTCTTAAAAGATGACCAAAAATCGAAATTATTGCCCGATTTGTTCGAAACTCTGCAGTCTACTGTTTTCGAGGCTGCTGATTACGAATCTGATATTCAGTTTGCCAAAAACAAAATGGCGGACGACTTTTGAGAAATTACAACTTATACGCCCTCAAAAATTTATACGAGTGTGTTTGAGGTTGCTGAGAGCTTAATATTGTTGACTACTTGCATTGGTAAAGGTTTCGTCTTGCAACAGCTAGGACAAAGAGGCGAAGTTCCACTGAAGCCCCGTACTTCTTATGAGGCACTTTTACGGATAAAGGTCCAACTTTTCTCAATGATTCTTGGAGTTTTAGCGCGTGTGCCCAAATAGGTATACCATAAGTGAGCACCGACGCAATCGCTGATGAAAGTGTAAGTCTTCTGGTCTGCTTTGTACCACCTGCGTACAAGACTAGAATTGTACGCAGTGATGCTTTGTCAATGACTTGTTTTACATGCTCCCTAAAATTTAGCGATTTTGTGTCTTTCTTGTCCGCACGTAATGCAAAGATTTGAACTGTTCATTTTATTTCTGCACTGAAATCCGTGATGCTCGAAAATCCAACATTTGTAGCACTGTTTTTGGTCTTTAGATGTTTTTTACGGCAGTTCACCCAACCAAATCGAATTTTGCCGACTCAACGAAGGAAAGCAATTTTTGCGCCGTGGCTGCTGGTAACGTTACTGTGCTTCTGTAAGCTTTACGGATCTTGATTGCTTCCGCTGGTATTTTTTGTTGCTTTTTCAATTGAACCTCATGTCCATCAGTAGCCACGTTCTGTTGGGTATTCTGTTCTGTCACAATCTTCGGGAAACTCGGTTTCAAGCCGGCCATCGATTGTCAAGGTAAAAAAAAAACACGTCGTGGCGGTTGCAACACTACTTGTTTATGTCTTTGTGTTCATGTGAATGGTAGATTTAGACTTTCACGCTCTATATTATACTCCCAGTAGCGCAGTAGCATTTCTTGACACACTTCACTTCACGGGCCCAAACGACGACTTTGGGCCCGTTCGCAGACCCTCGGCGGCAGGTACTGAGGTATCCCTCATCTGTACTGCAAATGGTTCTGCTTTATAGATATTCATAATCATTGACATTGCTTCCGCTATGCATGGTCAGGTGGAGTAATCAACCCTTCCTAGATGTAGGAGAGTTTTGTACACGATAGTTATTTTATTTCACTTTTGCGCTATGTTTTCTCCAATCCATACGTGGAGACGCGCAGCTTCTCTTCAGCCTCGAGTTATGTATGTAAGTAGTATGTGTCTTGTGTGGATCCAAATTTTTGTCGACGTTTTCGGGTGCACTGCTCAACCGATTTGAATGATTCAAAAAGCATTTGATCCCTATTTATTAAGAGTGCTGTTTAGTTTTTAACACATGCACGTGCAACCGGTTGGGAGATACGATGCAAAAAATGCAAAAAAATACGCTCAGTTTTTGCGAAAACGGAGCATCCAATTAGCTTGATTTAAAAGGCAGCCTATTTGTATTGACGGCGAGACGTGCTGATTACTTGTCGAAGATACATAGCAAAGGAAGCTAATAATTGTAGTTTTTAAGGAAACGGTGCATCCAAATCGAATAATTTAAACAACATATTACTATTATTGATGGAAAATTTGATTACATATTTGCGTTGGCAGATCTATCGATTTCGGAGTAGTACGGAAAAAGTTAAAGAATGGACATTTAGTGGTTCGAAATGATCATCACATATCATTATTATTGTTCCATCTACATGTATAAATATTGATACACAGACACTCCACACGTAAATAGAGGAAGGAAGACGGTAACAAGACAAGTAGAGGAAGGAAGAGAGGTAGATCGTTTTTGGCCACGCTTTTTTATCTCTTTTTAGTATCTTTTTGCAGTTTCCGGCGACAATGAACTTTATCACTTCCAGATTTCATTATAATTATCAGAACAAATCAACAATTAATTACATTGACGAACGATCCAAAACACAGTTTTACGATATACCAAAGGAATATATTATACTAATCTACAATAAATATATGGAACGAATTGTAATTTTAAATTTCTAAATGTAAAAATATAAAAATTTGAACTTATTGAAACAAAAAATTTGATTACAAACATAATTTTCTGAATTACCTACTCCTTTGGAATACAGGTATTAGACATATAGAAATGTTAAACTCCATTTAACTTCATTCCAATCATAAAAACTTTAGCTCATTGAAACAATAAATATTTAAAATTTCAACCACTTCGGTATAAGCTGCAAGTTTACTTGACGGCCGTGGATGGTTCCACACAGTCGAGCGTCACCATTACATGACGGACTTGATACAAACGTGTACGGCCGAGCGTCAGTTATTCATGACAGTATTTCCATGTGTCACCATAGGGTCTATCCATGAACAAGGCAGTATACGTACGATGACTGTGGGTGAAGTTTCGTGGACAGTAGGCGGCGTACTGAAGAGAATAATATAATATTCATAAGTCTCTAAATTATAGTTTAGAAAAATATTTTTCACCTGCTCAAATTCGGCCAACGTATTTTTTATAGCCGTAAACTGTAAAGTAAATTTTGTGAATAATAATTATATTTATTAATTAACAAAAATTAGTATATATGAACAACATTGCAGATACATACTATTTACAATGACATTGTCAATAGTTTTACTTAATTTGTAAAAAGATATTTAATATAATTCAATAAATATTTTATTGAGTCTATTAGAGAAATTCACAATAATAATACAATAACATTTTAGCAAAAGTTACTTATAAATCACTAAAAGAATTTTAGTATTAAACGTGGTGACAAGATGCAGTTCCTGATGGTGTTGTAGATTTACGATTTTTTACGAGAAGTTTATTTTTGCAAGAAAATCCGATTTGATTAGTTTTCTCGACGTTTCAAATAATTCTGCATAGAATGAGACCAAGCTTGAAAAAAATATGTGTGTGTGCATCTGTGTGTGTGAGCCCAATTTTGACTCTTTCAAAATTTTTATTTTCTAAACACTCTTGAACGGATTTCAAAAATTTGAAAGCTATTCAATGAAACTTTATAAGTATTCGCGATGGTTAGTTTTTCGGCAGCGCCGTTTCCTTAGAATGGGTAAGCCAGTGCAAAATTATGCTTCCACGTTTTAGCCTATAATCTTGAATCGAATCTGAAAATTTAAAAACAATTCGAAAGATATCATATGAAAATTGCCCTGATTAGTTCTTGACAGAGAACTGTCCGTTTCTTTGAAATGATTGTCCGCCCAAAGGCAGGTCCATGGCTTTGGAGCAACTACAAATCAATGATTGTCTTTCCCCCCTTTTTATACATTTCTCATGTATTTTTCTTTACAAATTTCTTTCATGCTTTCTGGATTTTTGCTTCCATGTTTGTTGGTTTTTGTTTCCTTTTCTTTTCAGGATCGTATTCAGTAGAATACTTTTTTTGCTCACTCTTTGCAGGACTTCTTCATTTGTTATCTTCTCTGTTCACTTTATCTTCTCCATTTGCCTCTAGCAAATCCGATTTGATTAGTTTTCTCGACGTTTCAAATAATTCTGGATAGAATGAGACCAAGCTTGAAAAAAATATGTGTGTGTGCATCTGTGTGTGTGAGCCCAATTTTGACTCTTTCAAAATTTTTATTTTCTAAACACTCTTGAACGGATTTCAAAAATTTGAAAGTTATTCAATGAAACTTTATAAGTATTTGCGATGGTTAGTTTTTTGGCAGCGCCGTTTCCTTAGAATGGGTAAGCCAGTGCAAAATTATGCTTCCACGTTTTAGCCTATAATCTTGAATCGAATCTGACAATTTAAAAACTATTCGAAAGATATCATATGAAAATTGCCCTGATTAGTTATTGACAGAGAACTGTCCGTTTCTTTGAAATGATTGTCCGCCCAAAGGCAGGTCCATGGCTTTGGAGCAACTACAAATCAATGATTGTCTTTCCCCCCTTTTTATACATTTCTCATGTATTTTTCTTTCCAAATTTCTTTCATGCTTTCTGGATTTTGGCTTCCATGTTTGTTGGTTTTTGTTTCCTTTTCTTTTCAGGATCGTATTCAGTAGAATACTTTTTTCACTCTTTGCAGGACTTCTTCATTTGTTATCTTCTCTGTTCACTTTATCTTCTCCATTTGCCTCTAG